CCTGGTCCTGCTCTGACACTTTGGATCTTTAAAGGAACAGTCTGATGTTTTTAAGTCAGTTCACTGTGAGTCTGATAAACTTCACGTCCTCCTTCTGTCTCACTGAGAACATCTCTTCTTCATCATCTTCATCATCATCAGTGCAGACAGATGTGATCCAACATGATCTGAAGTTCAGACAGTACAAACATTTTAATGTTTAAATCTTTTAACTTTGTGTCTGAAGGATGGAAACCATTTCACTGGCAGTAGTGATGTCATCGATGAACGTGTGAATATCTCACTGTGACAGGAGCGTCACTTATTAATGTGTTCACAGCTCTGTGCTGTCTGTCAGTCTGTGGGCTGGACACTGTCATGTATTCATATATGATACAATTATAATTCATTCATTCATTCATTCATTCCAACCTTGACTGAACACATCACTGTCTTTATAGTTAGTTTACAATCAGACATCATGTCTCTGTCTCACACTGACAGGAAGTGATGTCATATGACACAATCATGACCTTTGATAACATTCAGAGGACACTTGTCTTTAACCTGCCCACAGGTGTAGAAGACACAGGAAACACACTGTCTCTCTGTGTCCTCAGTGTCTCTGTGTCCCCGCAGTGTCTCTGTGTCCCCCAGTGTGTCTCTGTGTCCCCACACGGTCTCTGTGTCCCCACAGTGTGTCTCTGTGTCCCCACAGTGTGTCTGTGTCCCCCACAGTGTGTCTCTCTGTCCCCACAGTGTCTCTGTGTCCCCAGAGTGTCTCTGTGTCCCCACGCGGTCTCTGTGTCCCCACAGTGTGTCTCTGTGTCCCCACAGTGTGTCTCTGTGTCCCCCACAGCTTGTCTCCGTGTCCCCACAGTGTCTCTGTGTCCCCACACGTGTCTCTGTGTCCCCACAGCGTGTCTCTATGTCCCCACAGTGTCTCTGTGCCCCCACAGTGTCTCTGTGTCCCCCACAGTGTCTCTATGTCCCCACAGTGTCTCTGTGTCCCCACAGTGTTTCTGTGTCCTCACAATGTGAGTATCTCAGTGTCCCCACAGTATGTGTCTCTATGTCCCCACAGTGTCTCAGTGTCCTCCCAGAGCACCTGCAGGTTTTCACCAGTTTAATTTTAGATATTTGTGTCTGAGCAGGAGCTACGAGTCCAGTATCAGAGACCAGTACTACTAGAGACCAGTATCAGAGACCAGTACTGTTAGAGACCAGTATCAGAGACCAGTACTGTTAGAGACCAGTATCAGAGACCAGTACTACTAGAGACCAGTATAATAATAATAATAATAATAAATCGGTTTTATGTAGCGCTTTTCTAGGTACTCAAAGATGCTTTACAAAAGAATACGCACAGAAACAGGCACTCAAACAAAACACTCAATCAAAAGGCAAGTAAACAACACTATAACAAAGGGACCACATGTTAAGAGAAAGAGCGGGTGGAGGATGAAGGCGGAGGATTTTCAGATGCTGTAGGTGATCCTGAAGAGATGGGATTTAAGCTGACTCTTGAATGAGGGGAGTGTGTCAGAGTTCCGGATGGCCAGGGGCAGGGAGTTCCAGAGGGTNATCCTGAAGAGATGGGATTTAAGCTGACTCTTGAATGAGGGGAGTGTGTCAGAGTTCCGGATGGCCAGGGGCAGGGAGTTCCAGAGGGTAGGGGCGGCGATGGGGAATGCTCTGTCCCCCAGGGTGTGGTACTTGGTCTTGGTGATGGGGGTGAGAAGGTTGGCATCCGTTTTATTGCTGTTGAGTTTTAGGAAGTTGTGGTTCATCCAGGTTTTGATGTCGGTGAGACAGTCAGTGAGGGTAGAGAGAATGGCAGGGGTAATGGCTGTGGTGGTGATGTAAAGCTGGGTATCATCAGCATAACAGTGAAAGTGAACACCATGGCAGCGGATGATGTGACCTAGAGGGAGCATGTAGAGAATGAAGAGGATCGGGCCAAGCACTGAGCCTTGAGGGACTCCGTGTGAGACAGGGATGGTGTGTGATCTGTGGTTGTTGATGGAGATGTAGTGGAATCTTTCAGACAGGTAGGAGGTGAACCAGGAGAGGGCGGAGTCAATGATGCCAATGGATTGCAGACGGCTGAGGAGGATGGAGTGATTGACGGTGCCGAAGGCAGCACTGAGGTCGAGGAGGACGAGAATGGTGAGGGAGCCGGAGTCAGAGGAGAGTCAAAGATCATTTGTAACTTTGAGTAGTATCAGAGACCAGTACTACTAGACACCAGTATCAGACACCAGTACTACTAGAGACCAGTAACAGAGACCAGTACTACTAAAGACCAGTAACAGAGACCAGTACTACTAGAGACCAGTACTACTGGAGACCAGTATCAGAGACCAATACTACTAGACACCAGTATCAGAGACCAGTACTACTAGACACCAGTATCAGACACCAGTACTACTAGAGACCAGTAACAGAGACCAGTACTACTAGAGACCAGTACTACTGGAGACCAGTATCAGAGACCAATACTACTAGACACCAGTAACAGAGACCAGTACTACTAGAGACCAGTACTACTGGAGACCAGTATCAGAGACCAATACTACTAGAGACCAGTAACAGAGACCAGTACTACTAGAGACCAGTACTACTGGAGACCAGTATCAGAGACCAATACTACTAGACACCAGTAACAGAGACCAGTACTACTAGACACCAGTACTACTGGAGACCAGTATCAGAGACCAGTACTACTAGAGACCAGTACTACTGGAGACCAGTATCAGAGACCAATACTACTAGACACCAGTATCAGAGACCAGTACTACTAGACACCAGTATCAGACACCAGTACTACTAGAGACCAGTAACAGAGACCAGTACTACTAGAGACCAGTACTACTGGAGACCAGTATCAGAGACCAATACTACTAGACACCAGTAACAGAGACCAGTACTACTAGAGACCAGTACTACTGGAGACCAGTATCAGAGACCAATACTACTAGAGACCAGTAACAGAGACCAGTACTACTAGAGACCAGTACTACTGGAGACCAGTATCAGAGACCAATACTACTAGACACCAGTAACAGAGACCAGTACTACTAGAGACCAGTACTACTGGAGACCAGTATCAGAGACCAATACTACTAGAGACCAGTAACAGAGACCAGTACTACTAGACACCAGTACTACTGGAGACCAGTATCAGAGACCAATACTACTAGACACCAGTAACAGAGACCAGTACTACTAGAGACCAGTACTACTGGAGACCAGTATCAGAGACCAATACTACTAGAGACCAGTAACAGAGACCAGTACTACTAGAGACCAGTACTACTGGAGACCAGTATCAGAGACCAATACTACTAGAGACCAGTAACAGAGACCAGTACTACTAGAGACCAGTACTACTGGAGACCAGTATCAGAGACCAATACTACTAGACACCAGTAACAGAGACCAGTACTACTAGAGACCAGTACTACTGGAGACCAGTATCAGAGACCAATACTACTAGAGACCAGTAACAGAGACCAGTACTACTAGAGACCAGTACTACTGGAGACCAGTATCAGAGACCAATACTACTAGAGACCAGTAACAGAGACCAGTACTACTAGACACCAGTATCAGACACCAGTACTACTAGAGACCAGTAACAGAGACCAGTACTACTAGAGACCAGTACTACTGGAGACCAGTATCAGAGACCAATACTACTAGACACCAGTAACAGAGACCAGTACTACTAGAGACCAGTACTACTGGAGACCAGTATCAGAGACCAATACTACTAGAGACCAGTAATACTGGAGACCAGTATCAGAGACCAATACTACTAGACACCAGTATCAGAGACCAGTACTACTAGACACCAGTATCAGACACCAGTACTACTAGAGACCAGTAACAGAGACCAGTACTACTAGAGACCAGTACTACTGGAGACCAGTATCAGAGACCAATACTACTAGACACCAGTAACAGAGACCAGTACTACTAGAGACCAGTACTACTGGAGACCAGTATCAGAGACCAATACTACTAGAGACCAGTAACAGAGACCAGTAGCCTACTACCAGAGACCAGTATCAGAGACCAGTACTGTTAGAGGCCAGTACTACTGGAGACCAGTATCAGAGACCAGTACTACTAGAGACCAGTATCAGAGACCAGTAACAGAGACCAGCACTGTTAGAGACCAGTAACAGAGACCAGTACTGTTAGAGACCAGTATCAGAGACCAGTACTGTTAGAGACCAGTAACAGGGACCAGTAACAGAGACCAGTACTGTTAGAGACCAGTATCAGAAACCAGTAACAGAGACCAGTACTGTTAGAGACCAGTATCAGAGACGAGTACTGTTAGAGACAAGTAACAGGGACCAGTAACAGAGACCAGTACTGTTAGAGACCAGTATCAGAAACCAGTATCAGAGACCAGTACTGTTAGAGACCAGTATCAGAGACCAGTATCAGAGACCAGTACTGTTAGAGACCAGTAACAGAGACCACTATCAGAGACCAGTAACAGAGACCAGTATCAGAGACCAGTATCAGAGACCAGTAACAGAGACCAGTAAGAGAGACCAGTATCAGAGACCAGTACTGTTAGAGACCAGTAACAGAGACCAGTACTGTTACAGACCAGTACTGTTAGAGACCAGTATCAGAGACCAGTAACAGAGACCAGTATCAGAGACCAGTAACAGAGACCAGTAACAGAGACCAGTAACAGAGACCAGTATCAGAGACCAGTAACAGAGACCAGTAACAGAGACCAGTACTGTTAGAGACCAGTATCAGAGACCAGTACTGTTAGAGACCAGTATCAGAGACCAGTATCAGAGACCAGTATCAGAGACCAGTATAAACTTCACTGATTCAAACATCAGTTCAGTCTTCCTGGTTCCAGTTAAACCAACATCAAACCAGTACAGACCCATTCTGCTCCAGCACACACACACACACGCGCACACACACACACACACACACACACACACACACACACACACACACACACACACACGCGGACTCACGGATCTTGGCCACGCTGGCCACCAGTAGCCAGGTGGCGATGATGTACGGAGTCTGGACGTAGCTCCACTCCCATTGGACCACCCGGAACCCGCCGCCGTGATGATGATGATGCTGCCCCTCCTCTTCCTCCTCTCCGGTACTGGCCGGTTCCTCCGCCGCGGACCGGGCCAAGGCGACACCGGGCGCCCCGTACTCTGCGCGGGGCTGCGGGAGGAGGAGGAGCGGCGGGGCGGAGGCAGAGGTGGAGATCGGCGGAGAGAAGCCGAGCCCCGGTCCCCGGAGCGGCGGAGAGCCTGTCCCGGGTAGGTCGGCGGCGGCGGCGGCGGCGGCCGTGAGCAGCAGCAGCATCAGACCGAGCGGCAGCATCTTCCTCCCGGTGCTCAGCGAGCTGACATCCTCCTCCTAACCTTTATATACACACCGACACACGGAGAGGACACGGAGGCAGGCCGGGGCCGGTTTACAACATCAACACACACCTCCTCACACACACACTCACACACACACTCCGAGGCTCCGGTAAGACACGGAGAAGGAGGAGGGGACACCGGAGCTGGACATGTGACCCGCCCAGTCCCGCTTTAAAGAGACGGAGACACTGCAGGTACACACACACACACACACACACACACACACACACACACTTGTCCACAGCTGGAGGACTACAACAAGGACTACAGGAAGAACTACAACTTTACTAACTTTGTTTTGTTTTTATTTGATTGATCTTTATTTATAAGACAGATGGAGCTCTGCAGCTGCATCCTGACCTGCTGTGAGCAGGTGTGCTGTCTGATCATCACCTGAAGCACAGGTAACAGCTCCTGAGCGCTGTGTCGGGCAGGTGTAGTGCCGTGTGCAAAGACACCTGAATAAGAGAGACGTCACCAAACACAGAGCGAGAGAGGAAGAAGCTCTGCAGCAGAGAAATGAACTCCATAAACTCAAAGTATCCAGTGTGAGTGTAACTGTAATGGAGTATTAATACTCTCACCTCTGTAGAAATACTCTGTTACTAATGAAAGTGCTGCAGTGGAGATGTCACTGAGGTCAGAGGTCACAGGTGCAGCCTGTGTCATTAAAGCTTTAAAGTTTCAATACATTGAGCAAATCAAAATAATTCAAAGGAAGCAGCAAGTCGTCACATCTGAAGCTGAAACATGAAATATTTCTGTATGAAAAATGACTTCATTATTAGAGCTGTACGATGATATAATATCAGCCCGTCAGACTGTGAATGAACATTAGACATTATGAAGTGTTTCATGTCTCCATCTGCTGCCGGCCGTCACAGCAGCAGGATGAATGTATAAGACGAGGGTCATGTGACACATTTATTCTGTCTGCTGAACTCAAAACTAAATTATAGGTGCTGCGCAGCAATGTTGGGGCCGGGCAGTTTTAGGCAAAATTAGGCAATTCTGAGCAACACACACACTAAAACAAAGCATATCACAACATAGAAGTTACATCATATAATTATGGCATGCCCTTCAAATTGTGGATGAGTGGCTGAAGTGATCAGACTCATAATATACAAAGGAAAGAAAAAACTCAGAACAAGAAAGTAAGAATAACAGTAACTGCTAGCAATTATGAACAAACTGGCCTGATCTAGCTTAAAGCTAAACATTATCCATGGTGACAAAGATGAAAACATTTTTTAAAATGTAAAAGTAGCTATTGGATAGACTCTGCATATTGACTGATAGCTAAGCCAAATAAACAGGGAAAAGAGACGAGGGATAACAGGGAAAAGTGTTGATAAAGAGTATTTGTCTCTCTGCAAAACTGCCTGGATCATAATTATTTTAACCTTGGTAGTCTCTAATCCACATAGCATGATGCCTGAACATAGGACTTTCACATTAGAACGTCCGTTCTGCCTTAGCTGAGGCTTAAACTCACAACTTCTGAGACTGAGGTCCGTCTTCTATCTCACTGAGCTAACTGGCAAGTGACAGTTCATGTGTGGCTTCACAGATTGACTAAGCCAAGCATCAGGGTGCCAGACAGCAGCCGTCCATGCCATGGAAAAGCACATTTCAAAGTGAAAGTTCCAAAGCTGTAGCACATATGGTTGATTTGTTATGAATTTTCAAAGTTTTGAACTTTAGAGGCTGCTGTAGCGCCACCATCAGGACTATTGTCTTGTGTTTCCAGTTGAGGACATCTGGCATGGGACTGGACCTTCATGAAAAGTTTGGGTAGATTTCTCATATGGAAATGTTGCACGAGCTGAGGCTTGAACTCTTCAACACCAAGAACCATCCTCTGTCTCACTGAGCTAACTGGCAAACAGAAATGTCACATGTAGCTTCACAAATTGACTAAGCCAGTCACCTGTGTGCGAGACAGCAGCTGTTAGTGTGTAAAGGCAGATTTCAAACGGCTGTCAAAAATTCACTTATTAAGACAAAAATCTGAAAATACACATATTGCATCTAGACAGCATGGAGATGTTGGTAATTTGTTTGTAACAATGATTGATTTGCTCCATAAGTGAAAAACTGATGTTTAAATTTGCCATTTTTACATTGACTCCAATTGTTCACATTAGAGCAAAATTCAAAATGCTGTCAAAAATTCAGTTTTTGAGATAAAATTCTGAAATTTGTCACACATCATCTACCATGACTCTAGAATTTTGTCATTTTTTCATGAACATTGAAGATTTATTTAGCAAGAATTTGCATGTATATGTTTACAGTACCGTTTACAGTCAAACATTTTGATGCACTGTAGGCTCAATTTTTGATAAATCAAAAATCTGAGAAACATAGTTTTTGTAGGACAGTCTGAAGATGCTCTGTAGCAAGTTTGGTGTCAATTGAGCAAAAATTGTGGGAGGAGATAGGTTTAAGAAGTTTTACAGTTTTTGAAAAAAACAGAGTGATGAACTTCATAATTTTTAATAGGTTTAAATGTACAAAAGTTTCTTCAGTATTGGGGCTACAGTTTGATGAAAGTTGTGAAGTTGTAGCACGTATGGTTGATTTGTTATGAATTTTCAAAGTTTTGAACTTTAGACGCTTGCTGTAGCGCCACCATCAGGACTATTGGCTTGAGTTTACAGCTGAGGATATCTGGCATGAGACTGGACCTTTGTGCAAAGTTTGGTGAGTTTTTGCGCATGGGAAGTATGATTTCCTCGGAAGAAGAAGAACATGCAGCAAAACTAATTACTAACTAAACTAAACGTTTTCAGTGTGAGCTGTGTCCATAAGTGAACGACCTGAGGTTTGTGACATCACATCAGATTATTATAGATGAGTTAAAGGCGCAGGATTTCCTCTGCAGAGTGGGGGAGCAGAAGAAGAAAGAAAAATACTCATGTGTAGTAAAAGTAGTCTGAGTAAATGTACTTAGTTACATTCAGCTCTGGTCAGCAGAGGGACGCACAGGGACTGAGATCAACGCAGAAAGTACAGACGTAAATATTTAGCTCGGAAATTTAAAAGGCCAGTTAATATTATTTAGAACATGGCGCTCTTAAATACTTGGTAGCAATGGCCTCAGACTGAGGAGCATCAAAACCAGTTAACGTTCGTCCACACAGCTCTCCCAAGCTGGCCTGGAGATCATGTCGGTCACTGGCCATAAATGTGAGGCAGCCTGCGCAGCTACTGGGCACCAGCATCTCCTCCGCTCCTGTTCGTCTGGTGAACGCCTCTCCTCTGTCAACACACTCTGCCAGCAGTTTAATAACATTGATGCCAGTTTAACATTTGAGTGTTTCAGTAGTAAGCCATGTTCTAAGCGGGATAATGTACAGTTAGCCGGGAGTCAGAGGGGCCCTCAGGGGTCAGAGGGGAGTCAGAGGGGCCCTCAGGGGTCAGAGGGGAGTCAGAGAGGCCCTCAGGGGTCAGAGGGGAGTCAGAGAGGCCCTCAGGAGTCAGAGGGGAGTCAGAGGGGCCCTCAGGGGTCAGAGGGGCCCTCAGGAGTCAGAGGGGAGTCAGAGGGGCCCTCAGGGGTCAGAGGGGAGTCAGTTCACACACAGAAGATCTATACAATCAGCAGTTTCCAATTCAGTATCTGACCAAATGTCTCCCCTTCTGTTCCTGAGATATGACGTTAAAACATGATGATGTCACAGTCAAGCTGACCTTTGACCTTTTGACCTTCATTATTTTATCCTGTTAGACATTTGTGTCAAGTTTGGTCAGAATTAGTGAATGAATTCTTCAGTTATGGACAAAAACAGGTGTTGTGAGGTCACACTGACCTTTGACCTTCAACCACACGATTCTCATCAGATTATTCTTCAGTCCGGGTGGACGTTTGTGCCAAATTTAAAGAAATACACTTTTTTTTACGAAATTGCCCTCACAAGAATAAGACAAACAAGGTCACAGTGACCTTTTACTACCAAAATCTTATCAGTTAATTAAGGCCTTCTTGAGATGTCGTGTTCACGGGAACAAGATGGAGATCATACAGCTAGCGCGGGCGCAGCGCCATCAACACGTTACCTCATGAATTTAGTTTAACGTGTGGTGAGTGACTGAGTGAATTATTTCTTTAACGTCGATCATCAAACGCTCATTTTGTCATCATCACCACTCTGAATGTTTCTGACACGTATTATTATTGTACACACTGTTATCTAGAGAGCAGACATGTAATCACGTCTCTGTCATGTGATCACGTCTCTGTCATGTGATCATGTTGAACGTTACTTGTGTCCGTCTGCAGCGCTGACACGTTTCACTGCACACTGTAAAGACAAATAAAGATTCATTCAAGACACAATGACGTCATTATGACGAAGACAAAACTCACCAACGACACAATAAATCAGTGAGAATCGTTCTGTTGTTATTAAAATCCTTTATTAATAATTTTACCTTTAACGCGTCCAAACTTTATTCTGTCTGTAAAATGTTCATCAGCTCTTTAAGTTACAACTCAGGCCTCAAAGCAAACTGACACTTAGGGACTGTTCCTTAGTCATGGGAGGGAAACATGCCGTCATGACATCATCACCATGACATCATTAATTACAGTAAATTTTAAATTTATTTTTTATTTATTTTTTAAATCTGAGAGAATTTCAGGACATTTTTAAAGAAATCGTTGGTTTGAGGACGTTTTCTTTAAGAATCATCAGAATGACATTTATCAGCCTGAAACTGTAAAAACAGAAACTATAGTTCGATTTTCAAGTTTCCAAACTAAATCTTTTTTAAACATGTCGTCAAATGTTATTGATTTTTAAGGAAAACATGTCTCAAACCAAATCTGGTCTTAAATTAGTAACATTTCATCAGAACCACTTAATTCTATGTCTCATCTAAAATTTGTCGAAAAATAAACTGAGGCTTTTATCAACTCCAGGAGTTCATCTTCAACCTTTAAAAAAATCTAATATCCCCCCCCCCAATATATTTTGAACAGTCCCTAACTGACCCGAGATCAGCAGAAAAAAACAAAACAACCAAAAACACCTCAAAGTGCAAAAAACTAACTCGACTGTACAGAAACAAAAACTGATGTAATCTGTGCTCAGATGAAATGAACATGAGATGATGAAACATCATTATCAGTGACACACACACACACACACACACACACACACACACACACACAGGCAGGTGACAGTTTTGTACCACATCAGTGACTCTGTGACGTGATTTTCACAAACGTTCCCACCGACCCTTCAGCTGTGAGAAAGTTTTATTACAAATTAAAAATGTATTTTAATCTGAGTGAAGTTTAAACTTGAATATTTCTTACTAACATTTTCCAGAGCTCCTGAACAACTCAACATCTGAACGCTTCCAAACAAAAGTTTGTTGAATGTATTGACTCAGTTTAACTTTATAAAAACAATTCTTCCACCTCACAGTTCATCGTCTCATTATTCAACATCAAATACTAAACAAACATTTGATTTCATCCATCAGTAAAAATCAGGAAAATCAGACGACGCTCAGCCGTCACGATCTTTACAAACAGCTTTAACTGCATTATTTAAATGGGGTGTTGGAAACAGTTTAAAGGTCTCACTGTGGAATTCAAAGATCTGTTTTAGTGTTGAGTCAGAATGAATCCTGCTGAAAATAAAACTGTCAAGATTTTCTTTAAATTTCCAGGTTGGAAAATGTTCAGATTCAATTTGATGTTGGTTTAACTTTGGTTTCATTCCACACACGCACACACACACACACACACACACACACACACAGTGTTTAAAGAACAAAGAATCAGGTGAACAACCACCACAGCTGTAACCACGCCCAGCAGTGACATCACAGTGTGCTGCAGCTCACCTGTGATGTCACTGCAGCCAGGTGTGAAGGTCTGAGGTGCAGATGTGTCGAGGAAGGTCATGTGACTTTAACACTCAATGGACCTAGTGGTGACGTTGTGTGTGTGTGTGTGTGTGTGTGTGTGTGTGTGTGATGATGTTTCCTCCTCCTCCAGCAGCTCAGACAGCAACAAGAATCACTGTGATGATGATGTCAGAACAAACATGGCGGCAGTTTGAACGAGCTGCTCATCAGCTGTCAGCGAGTCAAACATGTCGACGTGTTCATGTTAATAAATAGATCATCATCAGTGAGGAAGAGGAGGGAGAGGTGTTCATCCTCCTCCTGCAGGAAGTCGCTCCTCATGTCGACAGCGTTCAGTCTCAATAGTGTTCACTGATCAGCTGGAGTCTCAGACTCTGTCCGCTGACTTGTTGTTGAGCCCCAGAGCCTGAACCACGTCCACACTGAGACCGCTCTTCAGAGTCCTCCTCACTGAAACACACACACACAGACACACACACACAGACACACACAGACACACACACAGAGTGTCAAACAGTTTCAGGCCGCGTTCACATCACAAGCAAATGAACCTCATTTATATCTGGTCCTGAATCTGAAACCTGTCTGCTCACCGCTCGCTGTGAGGACGCTCACATCAGAGCTTGTGTGTTTTTCCAAAATGAACGCACATCCAAAAAACTTGTACAGGTGTCAGACCACAGAAGCAGATACGTGTCACTGCAGACATGAATGTGAGCGGTGGGATCAGATCTGAGGGAATAATCAGAATATGTCTCTGTGCTGAGAGCGTTCAGGTCTGACTCTCAGTCTGAGATCAGAGTGCACGTTGGTACAGCAGCAGGACAAGATGTTAATCTGCTCACAGAGGATTTGGACAGGAAGTGAAAACAGTGATATGGAGCTGCAGAGATACGGAGACTGTTGTGGACACAGAGCTGCTGTTGTGTCTCCACACACACAATCTGAACCAGACTGAACCTGCCGAGGCTCCAAAGAGCAGCAGTCAGTCAAATACTCTCAAAGAAGCACTCCAACACTTCAGAGGTTTGGACCAAACAGATGTGGCGACTCCCTGACAGAGCGACTGCATTCACAGCACCAACAGGAGCACTGAGGTGACGTAGTGTCAGTCGGCCAGCTGGTGGTGCAGCACGTCCACAGTCACATGTCTGCTCAGTAAAGCCTCGACTTCACCATCGGTCCTTCTGTTTGTGTTGTGTGTTCTTTACAAGGCTAACAGGGTTTAAAGATGGCGGCTGCTGGTGCTGCACTGGCTCATGTGTTCGACCAATCACTGTGCGCTTACATCACTATGGTTTCTTTTGTGTCGGGAGAGAAGCTACTCTGAGTCAGGAAGTAAAAAAAGAAAGTTCTAAGAACTACAATCGTTCCTGGTTCTTGTGGTGTGGAAACAAGAGAGAGGGAGGTTCTTAGAACGATGACACAGGTCCTCTCGTCTGAAACACTCCTCCAGATCAACCCTCCTGTCCTCAGAGTCAAACATGAACCCTGAACTGAAATCTGACTCAGCACCGTGTACTCACATGACTTCCTGTTGAGTCGGGAGCGTTTGCGGGTCTTGGGGCTGGACGGTCTGTCTGAGGGATTCTGGGTGACGGACTTCACCAGTCGGTCCATGATCTCATCTGTGGCGTCGTCCTGGGAGCTCGTCCCGTCGTCTTTGGCTACGGACATGTGAGACGGACTCACCCTGCCGAAACCTGAGGACCAGAACCACAATCAGAACCAGAATATCACCCAGACCTGGACCCACACAGGACACACACATGAGCAGGCCCAAACACAATCTGCACCCACATGTTTTTTTCACAGATTTCCAGAATCTAGCTGCTGCTTGTAAAACTCAGAATGTCGTCACTGTCTCGTCCTCGTGTGTGTGTGTGACAGGTGTGTGTTCAGTATTCAATCAGCATTAAAACCAAAGTAGTTTGAGAACCTTGTGTTGTGACACAGACAATAAAACCTACAGATCTGATCAGTGGTTAAAGGCCACAACTATCGATATGCTAACAAATGTTTCAGGGTCTTTCTACGTCCATTTCTGAGGCGTCTCCAGATCTACACTAAATGCACACAGCAGCTGCTACACACACATATTCACTTTATACATTCATCATTTATAACAGGAAGAAAATAAAATGCTCTCCTCACTTTACTCTCCTCCTGTCGTTTTCACATAGTCACACATTAACTCTTATAATTATCTTTGTCCCTGTTAAAGGGTTTTTTTGGGGAGTTTTTCCTGATCAGCTGTGAGGGTCATAAGGACAGAGGGATGTCGTATGCTGTAAAGCCCTGTGAGGCAAATTGTGATTTGTGATATTGGGCTTTACAAATAAAAGTGAATTGAAATAAGCTTTAAACATTTTTAAAGAACTCCAGAGAACAGACGTGTGCAGCAGCAGCAGCAGCAGCTCCGCGCTCCTCCTGCGCTCTTTGCACACGGTATGTTCGTGCTGCACCAAACTACGTCACATTTGTGTAAATGAATGATCGGAGCCACGGTGACATCAACATTATTTCAACTTGAATTTTGGTTGATAAAGACATGTGGAAGTGGAGAGCAGTTCAGCACCTGTCTCCGCTCATACCAAGCCGCTGGTGAACGTGAATGTGACACAGAGTTGGAAGGAGACGGTTGATTTCACACCAGACTGGTTTACTGGATGTTCAGCATCATAGCAGGTTCCTGCCCAGGTTAGTGTGGCTGCATCAAGATGTCTTAATAGTGCTTTGATTTCACCACAGTCACAAACATGGCTGAGGCGGAGCATGAAGACAGGTCAGAGAGACGTGAAGCTGCTCTGCAGGACGCTCAGTTTGTGTGTGTTAACTGTGGTCGTCGTGACAACACAGAAAGTTAAAGAGCGAGGGGTGGGGCTCAAATTTAAAAACTAAAACAAAAATGATTTAAAAAAAGAGAACTGCTGTCTTGTCTTATCCAGTCAGAGGCCAAAAGGGCTGACGACACCTGAGGTCTACCTGTGCACGTGCCTGAGGCTCGTGTATGTGCGCCACAATGTTTCAGATTCCTAAAATGTGGTTTATAAATTTCACCAAAAGCATGCGTCTGCACATTTGTGTCTCTGTGAGTTCAGACTGCAGATGGCTCTGTGTTGTGTTCAGGTACAGGTGAGACATGAGACCTGATCCAGAGACTGAGACACTGTGAGACAGGACGAGTTATCTTTGTTCCCATCGACGGTAAACAGACAAATACTCTGTTCACATCACACACTAATCTGACAGGAAGGTCAGCCTGCTGCACGGGGACACACTGAGGACTCTGACTGATCACATCTGCAGTGTTCAGGATCTGCCTGTCATCACAGACGTACCTGACCAACAGGTGACCTTCAGTGTGACCCCGTCACATTCAGCTGCAGCTCAAAGTAAACTGACTCTTACAGACTGTTTCTCGTGGACCTGAAGTCATCACACAGAATTATTATCTGAAGTTCAAAGGTTAAAGTTCAGGTGTCCTGCAGTTTGAGTCCAGTCACTCCTCGTCTCTCTGCTGTCTCATACAGATGTTAGATCACCCACTGTATGAACTTCCTGTCATGTTCCTCCACAGCTGCTCAGTGACGACTCTGAACAAAGAGAAATCAAGTTTTGGGGTTCAGGAGAAGAGCAGACTCTTCATCATGTTTTTCAATCCGTGGCGTGTGGGAGTGAAAACATGTTGTCATTCATATTTATCTGACAGCTGATCTCATGTGTCACTGAGAGGAACAGGTGGAGACACGATGATGTCATCACTTCATTAAAAATCAAAGAAACAACAAGCCTCTGATCACTGACAGTTTGTTTACACCTCTCTGTGTATTTATATATGTTTATACTTCTCATTCTGCAGCTACACTTATACATCCTGTTTATTGATGGAGGACGCTCAGCAAAACAAAATGAGCTGCTGTAAACACGAGGAGACAAAGATCAGACCTCAGAACAACTTTATATTGAGTCTGATGATAAAAACTAGAAATGATCATCCGAGAGGACGAGACAGAGACGACATGAGAGGACATCTACCAACCAATCACTGTCAGGTGTCAGAGACGCAGCCCACACAGGTGATGAGGACAGGACGTAGGAGCGTCACGTACAGATCTGACATGTGAAATCAAAACTAACAGGATCAAATGAAAACAGAGAAACAAAGATGTAAACGTGTGGAAACAGTCTTACTGCGGACGGCTCGGGAGCGTCTCAGGCCTCTCTGGTCTACAGTCAGGCTGCTGCTGCTGCTGCTGCTGATCAGAAGGTTCTTCATGTTCTCATGCTCCTCCTCCTGACCAGGCTCCGCCTCCGCTGCCATGGAGACCGGGGAGGGGCTGTCCTCGTGAGGCACCGCCCCCGAAAACTTCTCAGTCTGATAAGAAGAAGAAGAAGAAAAGAGAGAAACATCAGAGCTGAACTTTAGACATTTTAGTTTCTTCAGACGAGGTGATGAAGATGAGTCACAGCGTTCTGTGAAGTCGCTGTGTGAAGGTGTTTGTGAGGCGCTTGTACTCCATCTCAGAATATCGCTCCTTTTACTGCGCTGCATTTATTATGTCACAGCCTCGGTTAGAGGTTATTTCTCACATAAAGGTTTTACATGAACAGTTGATCCTGTTTGTGATGCTCATGGACAGGATCTTGAGGTGCAGCCGGGGGAGGAAGAGGTCCGGTTTGGGGGCCTCAGAACCACATCTCTGCTCTTTGCAGATGATGTGGTTCTGTTGGCTTCATCACACCGTGACCTCCAGCATGACCTGTGGCGGGTTGAGTGTGAAGCGGTCAGGATGAGAGTCAGCACCTCCAAATCTGAGGTCATGGTTCTCTGCTGGAAACAGGTGGATTGTTCCCTCTGGGTTGGGACAGAGTTACTGCGTCAAGAGAACGAGTTCAAGTATCTCAAAATATAACAAGCACTTCATCTCTGATTTCTCAGACTTCCTGGCTGAAATAATGCCTAAATATGACCATGCTTTAATTCTTGGTGATAAGAATATACACGTGTGTTGTCCCTCCAAGCCCCCGGCTAGTGAATTCTTAAATCTCATTGGTTCATTTGATCTTGTGCAGTCTGTGACTGGTCCCACACAAGAGCACGGGCACACACTTGACATCGTCCTATCATATGGTTTACCAGTTTCCAACATTGAAGTTTGTGGTGCATTCTTTTCTGACCATATGCCTGTTTTGTTCGATGTGTCTCTCCCATGTTACACTGACAGACAAATCGCACCAGCTTGCCGATGCCGTATGCTTAACCCTTCCACTGCCGTTCGGTTCTCGTCTGCATTTACCAACGCCACAGTAGACCTACAAAGCCCAGCCAGCCCTGTGTGTATAAACACAGATGAGCTAACCTCTCGCTTTGACTCCACCTGCTTACAAGTCCTTGATACTGTCGCTCCCTTAAAAACCAGACACGCTAAACCTAAAACCGAGCCCTGGTTGAATGACAGTACACGGGAAGCCAGAAGAGAATGCAGGAGGGCTGAGCGTCAGTGGAAAAAAGACAAGCTACAGGTGTCTTTTGATATTCTGAGGGACAGCTGGCGTAGTTACCAGCAAATTGTCAAGGCTGAAAAGACGAAACACTTTTCTGATATCATTTTAACCAACTGTCACAAGCCTCAGGTCCTTTTTAAAACTATTAATGATATTCTTGACGCCCCCCAGTCTGTCTGTCTGGATGCCTCCTCTGAAACATGTGAGCTCTTTCTACAATTTTTTATTGACAAAGTAGCCAACATTAGAGCTAGTATCACTACCCCGACACATGACCCCTCTACTATGGCCACCTGCCCCGCCACTTTTAGCCATTTTGAGCCTGTGTCTCTTTCCTAGCTAGAGGACATAATTTCCCACATGAAACCCTCTGGCTCCCCCTTAGACGTCCTTCCCCCTCGCCTTGTTAAAGAGACCAGCAGGGCTATAGGGCCAAATGTCCAAATAATTATGAATAACAGCCTGGCAGGAGATGTACCAGCAAATTTTAAACATGCTGTGGTGCAACCGCTGATTAAGAAGCCTAGCCTCGATGCCTCTGTCCTTTCCAATTTTAGGCCTATCTCCAAGCTCCCATTTCTTTCCAAAGTTTTGGAAAAAATTGTGCTTGTCCAACTGATGTCATTTCTGAAGACTCATGCCATTTTGGAAGTGTTCCAGTCCGGTTACAAAGCACTCCGTAGTACCGAGACTGCACTCCTAAAAATTTTCAATGACATATTTTTGGCCACAGACTCTGGTGACTCTCTCATTCTTGTGCTGTTAGACCTCTCTGCAGCTTTTGACACTGTAGATCACATTATTTTGCTTTCCCGTCTGGAGCACTGGGTTGGCATTAAAGGTTCAGCCTTGGAATTTTTCAGGTCATACCCGTCTGGGAGAAGCTTCTGTGTCAACCTAGGAGATGCTACATCCTCCACAGCATCTCTCCACTGCGGAGTGCCGCAGGGCTCAATCCTTGGGCCGATTTTGTTTATGCTATATCTGCTCCCCCTAGGATCCATTTTTAGAAAACATGGTGTCTCCTTCCACTGTTATGCGGATGACAGTCAAATCTACCTGCCTGTAAAGCGAAACCATCCTGACTCCTTAAAACCCTTGTTTACATGCTTGGAGGATGTCAAAGCATGGCTAGCTTTAAACTTTTTAAATTTTAACGACAGCAAAACTGAAGTTATGGTGTTTGGTCCCAGCAACGCACATGTGTTTCCTCCTGGTGATCTAGGCCCCCTTGAACCTTTCGTGACGCCAACTGCTACCAATCTAGGGGTAAAAATCGACTCTGACCTAAAGATGGACAAACAGATAAATGATGTTGTGAGTAAGAGCTTCTACCAGCTCAGGAGACTGTCCAAGGTTAAATCTTTTCTATCACATTCTGTTTTTGAAACTGTAATGCATGCTTTTATGACATCTCGCCTTGACTACTGTAATGCCTTGTATGTTGGTGTTAGCCAGGCCTCCATCTCTCACTTACAGATAGTCCAGAACGCCGCTGCTCGTCTGCTAACTGGTACACGTAGCAAGAGCACATTAGTCCTGTACTGGCCTCCCTCCATTGGCTTCCTGTGCGCCACAGGATTGATTTCAAAATTCTGCTGTTTGCTTTCAAGTGCCTTAACGGCCTGGCACCCATCTACCTCTCCGACCTGCTGGAACCCTATGTCCCTCCAAGATCCCTCAGGTCCTCCAATCAGCTTCTCCTAGCTGTCCCTAAATCCAGGCTGTAGGTCAGGGGAAATCGGGCTTTCGCAGTGGCAGCTCCAAAACTTTGGAACGAGCTGCCAGATACAAGCGTCTGTGCGTTGTTACTTGTTTTTGTCTTTTACTTGAAAAGCACTTTGGTCTCAGCTCTGTTGTTTTAAATGTGCTATATAAATAAATTGGTATGGTATGGTATCTCAGGGTTTTGTTCACAGTGGGTAGAGTGGAGCGTGAGACGGATCGGTGGTTTGGTACAGCGTCTGCAGTGATGCAGCTACACCAGATCCTCGTGGTTCAGAGGGAGCTGAGCCAGAAGGCAAAGCTTTTGATTTCCTGGTCCATCTGCGTCCCAACCCTCACCTATGGTCATGAGCTCTGGGTAGTGACTGAAAGAATGAGGTCACAGATACAAGCGTCTGAAATGAGTTTCCTCTGTAGGGTGTCTGGGCTCAGCCTTAGAGATAGGGGGAGGAGTCAGACATCTGGAGGGAGCTCGGAGTAGAGCCGCTGCTCCTTCATGTTGAGGTGGTTCAACATCTGATCAGGATCCTCCTGGTCCAGCTGGTAGGAGGCCCCGGGGCAGACCCAGAACACACTGGAGGGATTATAGATCTCATCTGGTCTGGGAACACCTCGGGGTCCTCCAGGAGGAGCTGGAGGAAGGAGCTGAGGAGAGGGACGTCTGGAGGACTTTGCTCAGCCTGCTGCCCCTGAGACACAGCCTCAGATAAGTGGTCAAAGAGGGACGGATGGATATGTCTCTAAAACACTCCCAGCAGCTGTGAGGGACTTAATATGTAATGGAGTATTTTCATACGTCAGTATTTCTACTTTAATTAGAGTGTAAACCTGAAAACATCTTTTTCTTCTTGGATTAAAGAGGATCATGATGACGTGAACTGTTGGGCAGCGTGGATCATTAAACATGTGCGACCTCTGACCCCTCCTCTCAGGAGGATCAGGAGGTGTGAGGTCATCAGGAGGGGGAGGAGTTACCTCTGTGATCATCTTCCCTCTGGTCTTGGTTCTCTCTCTGTGAGCAGCTCGTTTGCGTTTGAGGCTGAGGACGCGCTCCCTGGTGGTCCGATACTCCAGAGAGAACTCACTGATGATCCGACAGAAACTGGTCACTCTGATGTCACGCACTGAGGACGACGGCTGACCCAGGAACAGCAGGAAGGAGTGGAACCTGGAGGAGGAGGAGGAGGAGGAGGAGGAGGAGGAGGTGGTTAGTGTCTGTCCGTCTGCAGGGGTCATGTTACCTGTGTGTGTGTGTCTCACCTGTTGATGACCCTCCTGTGGACGACCTTCAGGATGATGATCCTCTGTGTGCAGTCCTTCAGGAAGTCCGTCAACTTGTTCTTCAGCACGGCCTTTGTCTCGTGTTTGGCCACCACCTTCAAGTTGTCCCATGATGCTTTGCAGCGTCTCTCCAGCTGCACCAGGTTCTCAGACAGCAGCTCAAAGTCCACCTGCAGGAGACGACCACACACACCTGTCAGCAGCTGCCTGAACGATCCCACAGAGCAGACTGAACAGCAGGAAGTACGACAGAATAGAATACTTACTTTGGCGGAGCGGGTGATGGCGGGAATCTCACTGTAGACGTCAGAGGATTCTGGGTAATTTTCCACCACCAGGCTGCAGGTGTGATGCAGCAGAGACTGACGGTGCACCGTGTCCTTCACCTCCACCACCTTCTCCAGGTAACCCAGCTCAAAGCCTTTCGCCTGCGCACGCGCACACACACACACACACACACACACACACAATCTGTGTTTGAATACACAACACATTTATCTGAGCTCCACTGAAGCAGCTGATCTGCAGATCCTCAGTTTGAGGTCAGCTGATCACGGCGTCCTGATAACGCTCCTGTCCTCATGTTTACTGACATCATCACCTTCATTATAATAAAATAATTCTGACCTTCATTTTTCTAAATATCTCCGTCTACACAGGAACACACAAACAGCTGGGTCAGTCTGTGCTGATAAAGGCTGCACCAATGATCCATCAAATACCACAGAAGAAGACTGAGTGTGTGCAGTGAGCTCATCCTTCAGTGGTAACAAGTCAAACAGCTGTAAAACATCTGCAGCTAATTATTCCTTCATTCATAATGTTTGTTCAACATCACTCAGGTACACGAGCCTGAAATGTGACTCGTGTGTGGACGAGGACGAGATAAATGTAAACAAACCAACAGACCGCCATTGTTGTTGTTGTTGTTGTTGTTTGTGAAACATGCTCATTACACAACAAACAGTGGACACGTGTGAATGGAGGAGATGATGTCATTGTTTCTCAACACAGTAACTTCCTGGGAGGCGTGTTCATTTGTTTGAGGTGGGAAGAAGTTCTGTGTAACACAGATCAGCAGGTCACAAGTGTGGATGTATAAAGACACCTGGACACAGCTCTGGAGATGAGACGCCGTTCATTCCTATAAAAGCTGCTCAGCAGCTCATGAAACCAAAAAAGTTGGATTACCGCAGGATGAACTGACCCACAGACGGGCTCAGCATCACTGGGCTCACAGAGTGCAGAGCGCAGCTAACTTCCTGTTTAGCGCTCCGCTAACTTAAATAGGGATAAATGATCTGATGCTGTGGCTCCTCTAAACTCTCCACATGTTGTCGAACCAAGTGAAGAGTGACATCAGACATTTTATTGTGATGCTCAAAAAATGCATCCACTCATTTACAGACGTCTCTTCCTTAATGTTCGCCTTTTTGGGCCTTCACGTGACGCACCCTGGAAATTACAGTGCCACTGTCCGGCACTTCCTGGGAGCCTGGTCACAGCAGTCACAGGACTCTGCTCACTGATTGGCTGCTGGAATTCACTGGCCGCAATTCACCATCAAAACTTAAACTATTTAAACTTTTGATTTGGCTGCAAGTTGCTGCAGAATCAAACAGTTGCAGCCGGCTGAGCTCTGAGCTGTCAGGCCTCATACAGGTCAGAAGTTACACACAGAAACTTTAAATGATCTGATCAGAGTTAAACACACATATTATCTATTCTCTGTATTTGTCCTGTCATGTAGTGAAAACAGATGAATCATGATGAGAGGAGAGTTTGTTTTGTTCTCACGTTGGAGCTGTTGAGGAAGTTTCCGATGGCGAGCAGCGTGGCGAGGATTCTCCTGAAGGTCTGATTGGACGCCAGCTGCTCCATGCCCAGCTTTAGGTCAAACAGCGGCTCTGCGATCTCCTGCAGGGGGCGACACACACTCACTGTCAACATCCTGTCTCTATCACCGACAGCACACACTCCTCCTCAGACCCTCGACTATGTGACGTCTCATTTAACATCACATTCGAGGATCGGGCTGATTTTCCTCCTCACAGTCGGTGAGGTCGACGTCCTGCAAACATCAGCGTCTCATATCTTTTTTCACCTCTTCTCTGGACGATGAACATACATGAGCCTCCATGTTGTGTTACAGAGTCAGACGTCAGAGAAAACTCTGATCCACAGTCACAAACTGTTTATACTGTTTATGTTTTGGAGGGTTCCTGTGTTGGTGAGTGAAATATGGAAATATACAAACACTGTGTTCATCTTAAACTCATCTGTGTTGTGCACACATCACCACAGCCTCACAGGAAGTCTGAACACATCAGTCCTTTAACTTCCTGTTGGTCTCATGTGTCTCAGGACTGTGATGTCACTATGTGTGTGTGTGTGTGTGTGTGTGTGTTACCTTCTCCAGAGCCTCGTAGTTGAGTTTGAAGGCCCAGAGCTGCAGGCGGGGGGTCAGGGCGCTGATGGAGGCCAGGCTGAACAGGAACTGCTCCGCTGTGCCCAGAGGAAGGTCAGGATTGGCCAGCTGAGCCTCCTGGATCCTCTGCTTCTCCTCGTCTGTGGGCGTCATGGTCAGGATCTTCTGCTCAGGACAGAGAGGGAGCGGCAGCGGGAGAGAGAGGGGGTGGGGTCAGACTAACTACTTTAGCACACACTCATTCAGTTCCACATTAAAGGATAAGAGCGCCCTCTGCTGACAGGAAGTGCTCCCTACCTCTATCCCCTCCTTGCTGATGGCGAACTCGTCGAAGTTGAGGATGGCGGTCTTGATGACGTGGACGGCCGGCAGGACGGTCATCCCAATGTTGATGGCGTTGCTCCTCTTCGGGTCCAGAACCAGAATCTCAGACTTCTTGGTCTCAGGTCCTTTCTGCACACAAACACCTCCTTATTAACTCTTAACTACTGTTAATAACTGTTAATAACTGTTAATATCACTTTGATGAAATGCTTTATATAACACACTGTCTGATTCTATTACTTACTGCTGATAAACATTCATAAAGCTGCAGTCATTCACATTAACGTCCAGCCAAAGACAGCTCTCCTTAATAACGTCAGTCGTACATCATTAATTTAAACTGCTGTTTAATTAATGAACTCATTTACTTATGAACAGACAGAGAACTCTGATCTTACATTACAGCTCAATTATAGCGTCTTTTTCTATATTAACTATAATATTAACTGTAAATCTAATTATTGATGATTTTTTTCCTGAAAACATGAAGCAGCATTTTGTTATGACGCAGCACAGAGCCTTAATAACCTCCCAGATGATGTCAGACAGACGCTCAACACTTCCTCTTTAACGCTGCCTGCTCCGCCCTGTAATGACCACTGAATTATTTTAAACATATTAAATATCTTTGCACCTCTTGTTCTGCACTTGAATGATTTTTTAAAATTAATCATTTAGTAAATTTGACCTTTTAAATATTTTTCCTCTTTTATTGTAAATCTGTGTCCTTTATTATATTTTATAGTTGACTGCTCTGTAGAGCACCTTGAGGTGCCCTGGTGTCTGAAACCTTCTGTGCAAATAAAGCCGCCCGGCCTAAAACCATGTAGAGTAGTGTCTGCAGGTTCTCAGACAGCTTAAGGCTCATTTATGCTCAACATTAAATACGGATCTGGATACGGACGGAGCCTTCTGTCCGTGCTCTGCGTTCATTTCGTCCGTATTTCTGCACGTTTCCATAAAGCTTACGGATACGGGCCAAACGGAGCAGTACCACCAGGAACCGTGGGGGCAGTGTTGCTGTCACTACCCGATACGTAGCTCTAGTGAGACACGAAGAAGAAATAACAATTCAATTTCTTTCATCGGCAGTACTAGAGAAAAGAATTCTCCATCCTCCTGTCGCGATGTATTTAATGGCCTCACCGACCACCGCCTCCTACAACGCTGCCTCTGTTTTTGTCTTTTATGCAAGAGGTACATTATCAATATCTCCTCCACAGTCGCCATGTTTGTTTCTGAGTTTGTTGTTGTCATAAACTTTTGACTCTGGGCTGCCCCCTGGTGGATATATTGGTTAACATCCATGCCAACGTAAAGGGCGCATGGAAGTATGTGGGCAGTGACGGTAACATCGTTTGAAACGGACGTATACATTTTCGTACGTAAAGGGAGCATAAATGAGCCCTAACAGCCACACTCAAACTCATGTTGATTTTTTTTAGGTGTCTAAAATACATTAGCTGCTGACTCCGCCCACAGCAGGACACGGACGAGCTCCTGAGGTGGTTCACCTGCCTGTTTCATTCCTTTAACATAAACAACCACCTTTAAGGGCCCCTTAAGTTTGGCTCTTACAGACAGGTGTCCTGGTTTTGTCCTGAGGGGACGTGTTACAGAGTCTTCGCTCTCTGTGGCTGAGACTCAAACATATCTTTGACGTCTCATCTTATTTTCTGGCCAACACACACAGATATCTGCTCTGAGACGATATCGGCCAGCTGAGTCGGGTTATAGTCTTCAGCCTGAGAGACGACACTGGGGCACAAAGCTGACATTATCAGTGTGTGCTGTGAGAGACGCTCGTATCTGAGAGCGTCAAACCATCACACAGCTGTCTGAGTGACTGCTCTGTGGGCGTCACACTGTGACCTGCAGGGGGCGCCGTTGGGTGCCACACTTTCTCATCATCTCTAAATGTTTCAGTAAAGACACATCAAACTCCCAGCTGGCCTGGTTACCTTGGCAACGGGCAGCTCCTTGGCTTTAGACTCAAACAGGTGTTCAAGTCGCGAGGTGTCCACCGCCACCTTATCCAGCGACGCCCACACCGTCCCCCGACCGAAGCGACACTTGTGCGGCCCGTCGGCCTGCTTCAGCTCCTTCCAGAACAACTTCACCGTCTTCTTCTTCTTCTTCTGAGTGGACGCAGACGAGGACAAGGGAGGAGGAGGAGCACCTGGAGGAGGGGGAGGAGGTGGGGGTGGGGCGAGACCACCTGGTGGTGGAGGAGGAGGGGGAGGAGGAGGTGGAGGAGGAGCACCCAGGCCCGGGGGAGGAGGAGGAGGGGGAGGGATGCCAGAGAAGCAGGAGGAGGAAGAGGAGGAGTCGAAGGTGTCTATGTCCAACACATCGATGTCCTCCTCGTCCATCAGGTCGGAGAAGTCCAGGTCTTTGATGCGCAGGGCGGCAGCGCTCGGCTGCAGCTGGTCCCAGGCGTCTGCGGGGCCCCCGGGGCCCAGCGGGGTCATCTGGATGGTCTCCAGGCGGCGAGCGTGGCTCTCCACATCGATGCTGCACTGCTGACGGAGGTGACGGTTCTGATGGAGAACGTTCAGGTGTCATTAGCTCTTACGTTACTTCATAAACTGTCGTAATGTGTCAGCTGACTGCTTACTAAGCCCCGCCCCCTCACAGTGACTGTCCAATCACAGCTCAGCAACAGTAAGCGTGACAGCAGGTGAGTCAGAGCGCATAGAGCTGTGCTCAGAGATGATTCAAACCTGTTTTTCTTCGGCCAGACGGGCCAGTGCTGCCTGGGCGGAGCCTTCCAGCCCCTCCAGCTCCGCCCTGCGGGAGGCGCTGCCCTCACTCGGGCTGGACGACTCGGCTGAGCGCGAGCTGAAGCTGGTCAGACGCTCCAACACACGACCCCGACCGCTCTGATCTCCACCTGAGAGGAGGAGGACACAAACAGGAGGTCTCACTCTGCCTCGACTACCACAACCAACGGCACAGATTCTGTCTCATCTTTAAAGGAACAGTTCACATTCTTAACTTCCTGTCTGACTGACAAATAACGCAGTTTTAATTTTTAATGTTTGAACGAGACTAAGAATCTCTGAACATTAAAGGCCTTTAAAAACAATCAATTTCAGACTCTACCAACAAAAACAGATCTATTCATGTATCGATCATTAACAGACAGGACTGATGGACATCAGGGAGACGTGAGTTCTCACCAGGCAGGAAGTTCCCTTCTTCCTCTGTGGTGTCGGCAGCGGCGGCAGCAGGTGGGCTCAGAGGTGCTGAGCTGGAGGTCTTGGAGTAGAGCATGTCTAGCAGGAACTTCCTGTCGTTGGACAGAGTGCTGCACTGACGCTGCATCGACGGCGCTGCACACACACACACACACACACACACACACACACGCAGATGGTAACAGGAAGCCTGACCAACATCCTTCACATTAAAAGCAGCGGCTGATTCTTTTGTTTAGTTAATATGGTTAAAAGTTATTTAAGTAAAAGTCAATAGTTTGTGAAGTTGAGTTCTCTCCATCATGTTTGATCATTGCTGGTGGCGTCCCTCAGGGGTCAGTGTTGGGCCCTAAACTGTTTATCCTTCATAGTAATGACAGACACAAACTATCTGATGTACTGAAACTGGTGACGTTTGCTGATACAAATATTTTCTGCTCTGGAGAGGTATTTGTCTCGACTATCAGAGGATGTGAGTGAGTTAAACATGTGGTTTGAAAGAAACTAATTATCGTTAAATTGGAACAAAACTATAATGAAGTTATTTACTAAATTCAGTGAAATTAGTTGGGATAAAGTGGATACATGGATATATCAGTTATCAATCAAATGAGCTGTTATATATTGGCCATCGCATATCAACAAAAAACCCAATATGCTGCATCGCTAATAAAAAAAACTCACTGAAATCAGCTGAGAAATAAAAACGTTAAAGTGATTTTCATCAGACGAACCGCAGCTCCACTCTTCTTCTCCTGTTTGGCTGTGACGCTGACATATGAACCAGCAGCCAATGAGGCGTCTGTGTTTCTGTATCTGTGAGTTGATTGATCAAATCTGAACTCAGGATGAATCCTGAACAAATTCTGACTGAACGCTGCAGGCAGGACGACCCACACAAGAAGAGGAGGATTGTGGGTAACTGGAGTCTCACCTGATTCATTCTGGGAGTCTGAGTGTCCGTTTGTGTCCGAACTGCTGGACGGCGAGACTGCAGACAAACACACAGGAGAAGAAGATCAGATGGTGGACTGGTCCTTTAAACAGCTGATAATCAATAACTTATTGATCAGTTTAGAGTTTCATCAACAGATTATTTGTCACATAAAGAACGTGATGCTGAAACGAAGACGATAGTAAAGAGGACAGCGATGACGAAGGTGACGACGCCAACGATGATCATGGTAATGATGACAAGTTGACAGTTTATGATAAAGATGGAATCGTCATCATTATCGTTGTTGTCATCACTAACGGTAATGATGATGATGATGAGGAAGACTACGACAAAGATGATGGCAACTAACAATGTTGGTGAAGGTGACAACATTGATGTGATCTTATTCTAAACATTTACCCTGATGCGACAGCTCCTCAGACGGGACACTGCTGCCCTCCTCTGTGGGCTGCACGCTCGGGGTTATGACATCATCAGACGAGGACAGCCTGGACTGGCTGAGGTGTTTACTTCTTCTCTTCTTCTCCCACTGCGTGGCGGCCAGGCTGCGCAGGAAGGTGTCTCTGTGACGGGGGAGGGGAACAGGAAACAAGGTGAGACGGAGCCAACATGGCCGACGTGCTGCTTCCTTTAAATGTCGGATAAAAGCAGGCGTCACCTTCACACGCTGCTCTTCATCATCATCGTTAAATTAACTGATTCATTCTCAGTAATGATCACATAATGAAACAACCTGAACACTCAGCAGGACACTTCCTGCTCTTTTTAAAGTAAAAGTCTGCTGGTATTTAACCTCCATGTTCAGACTGAAGCCAACGGTGAGTGTGTGTCTGCTGACGGCTGCAGGGACACATCTTCATCTTCCTCTTCCTCCTCCATTGTTATCAGTGAGTCACACGTTCCTTCATCACCATGAACTCACTGTGGTTTAGTTGTGGATTCATCTGCTGCTGAAAATAGTCCCCAACAAAGTGGCTGTTTCCTCCCGTTAGTTTAATAAAAACTACAGTGAGACGCTGACGGAAGAAATAACTGATCAAACTATTGATCTGGTTTTTACAGACGACTTCAGGAGGAACTACTGAGACTCAGACAGGAAGTCAGACAGCATCACGTTGTTGGTTTGAGTCTGAACATGAGACAAATATAGAGATTTATACCTGTGAGGACAGCGTGTGAAGCTTGAATGAGAAACATCAAAATCAATTTCATTTCTTCTTCACTGCAAACTCAAAAATCAACCAGCTGCAGGCAGATTAACACCAGCGATTAGACCGCACCCAGCAACAACAGACCAGAAGGACCAGAGCCACCAGCAACACGCACACACGCACGCACGCACACGTACGCACACGCACGCACTCACTCACTCACTTGTAAAACCACCACACATCCGTTTACACACCCAAAGCTGCGTCGTCCTCAAACCAACAAGCTCTGATTTATGATTTTAATACACACACACACACACACACACACACACATAGTTGAAATGTTATTCAGTAGTTGTTTCTGGACTGTGCAAAGATGACGAGGGGGGAGATGTATTTTCCTTTTTTGGCTTTCACGCATCGATTTACTGCAAAAACAATTTAAAAACATCTAATAATTACATTCAAGTAGTTGTACTTTATTATAGAAAATTTATTTATTTTTACACCTATTTTTTTATTTTAAAAAATGTATTTATTTTTTAACTTATATTTTCAGTGTGTTTTGTGTCTGGTCGGCACACACGTGTTCTTTAAAAGGAAAATGATTTTTTTTTTTTTTTTAAAAAGGGTCTTTAATAAATATTGGTAAGGAGGAGCTGAAAGTGTCGCTGGTTAGAGAGACATCTGGGGTGCTTCTATCAGCCTGCTGCCCCCTGATGACCTCAGATAAGAGGATGAACATGGATGGATGGATGGATAAATATCTCTTAGATCAAAAACATTTGTATATGTGTATATGTATTTGTATTTGTATAAGTTCACTCATGATTTCAGCATCAAGTTCCTGTCAGACACAGCATGTTGCAAGTTGTGCTCAACACACTGAGCCACAGCACTGAGCTGCAGCACTGTGTGACCTCACTGACCTGCTGCACTGTGTGACCTCACTGAGCTGCAGCACTGTGTGACCTCACTGACCTGCAGCACTGTGTGACCTCACTGACCTGCTGCACTGTGTGACCTCACTGACCTGCTGCACTGTGTGACCTCACTGACCTGCTGCACTGTGTGACCTCACTGACCTGCAGCACTGTGTGACCTCACTGACCTGCTGCACTGTGTGACCTCACTGACCTGCTGCACTGTGTGACCTCACTGACCTGCAGCACTGTGTGACCTCACTGACCTGCAGCACTGTGTGACCTCACTGACCTGCTGCACTGTGTGACCTCACTGACCTGCTGCACTGTGTGACCTCACTGACCTGCAGCACTGTGTGACCTCACTGACCTGCAGCACTGTGTGACCTCACTGACCTGCTGCACTGTGTGACCTCACTGACCTGCTGCACTGTGTGACCTCACTGACCTGCAGCACTGTGTGACCTCACTGACCTGCAGCACTGTGTGACCTCACTGACCTGCTGCACTGTGTGACCTCACTGACCTGCTGCACTGTGTGACCTCACTGACCTGCAGCACTGTGTGACCTCACTGACCTGCAGCACTGTGTGACCTCACTGACCTGCTGCACTGTGTGACCTCACTGACCTGCTGCACTGTGTGACCTCACTGACCTGCAGCACTGTGTGACCTCACTGACCTGCAGCACTGTGTGACCTCACTGACCTGCAGCACTGTGTGACCTCACTGACCTGCTGCACTGTGTGACCTCACTGACCTGCTGCACTGTGTGACCTCACTGACCTGCAGCACTGTGTGACCTCACTGACCTGCAGCACTGTGTGACCTCACTGACCTGCAGCACTGTGTGACCTCACTGACCTGCTGCACTGTGTGACCTCACTGACCTGCTGCACTGTGTGACCTCACTGACCTGCAGCACTGTGTGACCTCACTGACCTGCAGCACTGTGTGACCTCACTGACCTGCAGCACTGTGTGACCTCACTGACCTGCTGCACTGTGTGACCTCACTGACCTGCTGCACTGTGTGACCTCACTGACCTGCAGCACTGTGTGACCCCACTGACCTGCACCGTGTGACCTCACTGAGCTGCAGCACTGTGTGACCTCACTGAGCTGCTGCACTGTGTGACCTCACTGAGCTGCTGCACTGTGTGACCTCACTGAGCTACAGCACTGTGTGACCTCACTGAGCTGCACTGTGACCTCACTGAGCTGCACTGTGACCTCACTGAGCTGCACTGTGACCTCACTGAGATGCAGCACTGTGTGACCTCACTGAGCTGCAGCACTGTGTGACCTCACTGAGCTGCACTGTGTGGCCTCACTGAGCTGCAGCACTGTGTGACCTCACTGAGCTGCTTTACATTTTATGACATCACAGGTTTGAGTTTTAGCGCTCTCGACTTTGGATTTGGGGGACGTTGATCATCTTTACTGACATTTTTGGGCTGTCTCAGACTGAAGGAGTGACATGTATGAATTCTGAAAGTTTCTCTGAAAGTTTTAAACCGTACATTGTGTTTGTGTGTTTACAGTTTCTCTCTGTAAGTCAGAGGACAGACACTCTGCGCTCTGTAATCTTCATGTCTGTGTTTAGTGGCTGCAGCTGCCTCCGAAAATCACACAGTCAAAGCTCTGAGTTCCTGTACTTGTGATCGGAACCACAGGAGGACAATAAACCCAGACCAGGACCAGGACCAGGACCAGTGCTGAGAAAAATCACACTGAAGTTCACTGAGTATCCAGACAGACACACACTCTGACAGGAAGTGATGCAATACTGACACACACAAAAACCAGCACAACGCAGGCTGCACGTGCACGCACGCACACACACACACACACACACACACACACACACACACACACAGAGTCAGATAAGCAGCAGAGCCCGGCCTTCGTCCCTCCAGCTCCCAGCATGCAGTGTGGCTGCAGCAGTACTTACTCAAACCTCCTCAGAACCGGCCTGTCAGGATTTACATTACAGTCCTCTGAGCTGCAGAGACACAACACAGGGCTGAGCAGGACAAACACACACACACACACACACACACACACAGCGGGTGGTCTCCGATTGGATCGTTTCTCTGCTGCTTCACGGCTGAAACGAAACACGACATCAACCTCCACCTCACCTGAGCTGAGCTGCTGACGCCTGAACCTGCAGGTGAGACTGAGACCACTTTGTCTTATCACCTCCCCAAACCACAGTCACCATGGCAACAACACACACACAGTTTAACCAGGAGAACCTCCCACCAGAACCACAGCAGGTTTCCCATCATCCTCTCTGCTCAGACAGCAGCCAGACGCTTCGACACTGAACCTGATGGAAAAAACTCAGCTGCATAAAATATCTATATCTACTATATCTGTATCTATATCTATATCTGTAAATATATCTGTATCTGTATCTATGTCTGTATCTATATCTGTGTCTATATCTGTATCTATATCTGTATCTGTATCTATACCTATATCTGTATCTATATCTATATCTGTATATCTGTATCTATATCTGTATCTGTATCTATGTCTGTATTTATATCTGTATCTGTATCTATATCTGTATATATATCTATATCTATATCTATATCTGTATCTATATATCTATATCTGTATCTGTATCTATATCTGTATATATATCTATATCTATATCTGTATCTGTATCTATATATCTATCTGTATCTGTATCTATATCTGTATATATATCTATATCTATATCTGTATCTATATATCTATATCTGTATCTGTATCTATATCTGTATCTATATATCTATATCTGTATCTATATCTGTATCTGTATCTATATCTGTGTCTATATCTATATCTATATCTGTATCTATATCTGTATCTGTATCTATATCTATATCTGTATCTATATCTGTATTTATATCTATATCTATATCTGTATCTATATCTATATCTATACCTATATCTGTATCTATATCTGTATCTATATCTATATCTGTATCTGTACATATATCTATATCTATATCT